ATCCTGCTGATGACCAGCACCCCCCATTAACAGAAAATAGAACAAGGTGGAGCGTGGCTCCTAAGTCCAACTCCACAGATCTCTTCCTTTCAGTATCCCCCGGGACCACCACGAGGAGGTAGGCCCTATCAAGCCAGTTCTTACCAATATAATTACCAAGTACATGTGCTTTTGCTCTTCCATGTGAATGGAAGTCAAACAGTGCTGACATTCTCACATCGTTCCACCACTGTAATGTTATTTTTAAATATCTTATTTTTAACAGATAATATATGCACATGGTTCCAAACTCAAAATGATGAAAAATATACATTTAGAGTCTTGTTGTCACCATGAACCCCCTTGCACCCTAGTCTGCTGCCTGTATGTAACCACTTTCGTTAGTTTTCTGTATGTCCTTTCAGTGCTGCTTTGTGCATATATTCATTCTTTCATTCAATGACTATTCAATAAATATTTACATTCTTTCATTATAGGAACTATTCCATGTCCTAGGCTACTATATTTTAGGAAATATTTTAGGAATATATTCTTCCTTTCATTAAGCAAAAATTCTTACTTTCATTGAGTTTATAATCTAGGAAGGGGTAGACAACAAGCAATAACATAAGAAAGAAGAAAATAATGGAGTAAGGAATGGTGGTGTTGCGGAGGTTTGAAGGGGGCCCATTGCAATTTTAAATAGGGTGATTAGGGTAGACCTCACTGAGTGATGTTTTGAGCAAAAGTTTGTAATAAGGTGAGGAATTGAGCTATGAGAGTATCTAAAGGAAGAGCATTTCAGACAGAAGGAACAAGCTATACAAAGGCCCTATGCAGAGCATGCCTATTATATTCAAGGAATAGCAAGGACCTAAGTGTGGTTGGAGTGGTGACCATGAGGGAGAGAAAGTAGTAAGCGTTGAAGTCAGAGAGGGAGGGGGAAGGAGGCAGACCATGCAAGACCTTTTGAGGCTTTTGTGTTTACTCCAAATGCAGTGGGGACACAGTCTCAGATTTTGAACATCATAATCTGGCTTATATTTTGACAGAATGTCTCTGGCTAAGGTGTGGAGAATAGGCTGTGAAGGAAGAAAGGGTGAAAGAAGAAAGAAGCTGGTGTGGAGGTTATTGCAATTACTGAAGAAAGGAGTGATGGTGGTTCAAAGTTGGGAGCAATGGAAACACTGAGTGGTCGGACTCTGGGCTTATTGTGAAGTAGGCACTAATAGGTTGAGTATTATTAAGTGTGTGAGAAAGAGAAGAGCCAGTTATGACTCCAGTGTTTTCAATTGGGAAGATAGAATTTCTATCAACTGAGAGGAAAACTGTGAAACAAGTTAGGGAGGGAAGATTGGGAATTTGATTATGCACAAATTAAGTTTGAAATGCCTTTTAGACATCCAAGGAGACATGCCAAGTGAGTATTGGATCTAAATTTGCGAGTTGTCAGGATATGAATGCTATTTAGCTGTGAGACGAGATGAGAACAGCAAGGGAATGAATATATATAGAAGTGAGGAGGTGGACCACGGCTGAAACCTGGGACACTCTAATGTTAACAGCTGGGGGTGGCAGGAGAGGAGAAATAGCAAAAGACATCTAGAAGGAATACAAGGAACAAACAGTGAGTTAGGAAAACTAGGGCACCGCAGTGTTCCAATGTCTAGTGAAGGAGATTTCTCAAGCAGGAGGAAGTGACAAATTGTGTGAAATGCTGTTGGTAGTTGAATAAAACCACTAGCTTTAGCCACATGAAGATCACTGGTGTTTGTGACAAAATCAGTTTCAGTAAAGTGGTGGAAGTGAAAACCAGGTAAGTGGGGTTAAGAGGGAACTGGTAAGACATCAAGGGCAGTTTAAGTGTAGACTTCTCTTTCTGGGAGTTTTGCTACAAAAGGATACAAAGAAATGAGGCAATAGCTGATGGGTGAAGTGGGGTCAAGAGAAAGGTTTTTGTGAGATGGGAGAAATAAGCTGTACTCTTGTGAGTGATCCAGGAAAGAGGGGAGAAATGATGATAGAGAAGAAAGGGGAGTTTCTGGAGTAGTAATCCTAGTAGGTTTGAGGGAATATCCTCCCCTTTTATTATCATCGTAGTTATCTTTCTTATAAAATGTGTCGCTTTATGGCCACTGTTCTGCACCTTGCCTTTTTCATTTAACAATCTGTGCTTCTTTTCATAACAGTATATGGAGAATTTTTCTTTTTTTCACAACTGCATACTATTTCATTGGAAGGGTAGGCCATAGTTTAAATAACTACGCCCTGAAGGGTGGACACTTGTGTGTTTCCAAGCTTTTGCTGCCATAACCAATGTTCCTCTGAATAACTGGTTATTTTCTTTAACTTTTTTATTTTATTTTAATTTTATTTAATTTATTATTATTTTTTTTTTTGCAGAGACAAGTGAACATTTATTTTTGTGAGTTTCTTCCTATGTGTATTTCAAGTCTTTTTCAAAACAAGGCCTCAGGAATCTCCAGAATGCATTATGTCTCTGGGCTTGGTCGACTGCTGTGGGAGTCTTAGGGAGCCTTGTACAGATGCTAGAGTTACTCATGTACCAACGTTAAATCCTAGGATAGGAGATGCAGCAAAGCAGGACTCCTTCCTCCTTGGAATGTGCTGATTTCAGATGGGGCAGCCGCCAATGCGGAAAACACTAAAATGTTTTCTTGGAGCTCGATTGTGATGAGAGGTGCTTGCCATGAACATAAGCTACTGTCTTTTGTTTTTTGGGTTGTTTTGTTGTTGTTGTTGTTGTTGTTTTGTTTTTCTGAGATGGAGTTTCCCTCTTATTGCCAAGGCTGGAGTGCAGTGGTGCGATCTTGACTCACAGCAACCTCCGCCTCCCGGGTTCAAGTGATTCTCCTGCCTCAGCCTCCCGGGTAGCTGGGATTATAGGTATGCGCCATCATGCCCAGCTAATTTTCGTGTTTTTAATAGAGACAGGGTTTCTTCATGTTGGTCAGGCTGATGTTGAACTCCCGACCTCAGGTGATCTGCCTGCCTCAGTCTCCCAAATTGTTGGAATTACAGGCGTGAGCCACCATGCCCGGCCAGCTACTATCTTTTCTTTGGCGCTTCCTTTCCAGTTTTGAAGATAAAGCAGGAAATAATCTTATCTGAAGATACTTGATAAAAATTCCCAAAAAACAAAAACACATGCTCCCACTTCATTGACAAAAATGTACTGCAGTTTGACACCTGGGTCTAGTTCAGCTGGCAGATGAGCTGATTGATGTGTTCATCTCAATAGCCAGGTGTGCCCATCTCCTTGAGGAAGCCCACTCTATTTTAGGTAGCATTACAGGCCACAGAGAGGTGGAAAGGGTGCAAGAACCATGAGATCTCCTGGAAATGCTTCTCTAGGAAGGCAATTTCATGAATGGGGTCTTCCAAGCAAATGATGCCAACCTTCCCCAGGTGCTCCTCAATCACTGTGTTGCCTGTCAGAGGGATGGTCTTATTCTTGACCTCAGATTGTCCATGTTTCAAAATGAGTTCCCAGACAGACTTCAGATTTGAAACCCCCGGGTCACATAAGGTTCCACTATACACAGTATTTTTAGGTTCTGGGAGGTTACTTTTACAAAGACACCACTGAAAATTTTCTTAGGTGAAGTATTGCAATGGTTCTCTGTACCAGTAAACTCACACCATTAATCCTTTCGATGCATTCAACAAAGGCCAAGAAATGTTTATCTGGCAATTCCAAGGCGTGAAGTTTCACTTCTAGTTGTCTGAGATGCTTGTCACGTTTCTGCCGCCAGGAATCATGTAGGAATGATTCCAGTCATTTAAACCCGAGCCCTTTTCCTTTCCTCTGCTCCTTCTTTGCCAGAAGTGCCTGCTTTGACTGAGTGGCTTTGAGGGCTTGATAAGCCTTCCTCTTTTTCAGGAGATTTTCTGGAACCAAAGGGGTTTTTCTTTGCTCTTGTTCTGCCATCTTTCTAGTGTTGCAGCTACTGATCACATGCAACCCCTTTAAATTTTTCTTTTACAGCGAGGGTCTCAACCTGTTTCCCAGGCTGGAGTGCAGTGATGTAATCATGGTTCACTGTAGCCTTGACCTCCTGGGCTCAAGGGATTCTCCCACCTCAGCTTCCCAAGTAGCTAGAACTACAGGCATGCACCACCTCGCCTGTCCATTTTAAATGTTTTGTGGAGATAGAGTCTCACTATGTTGCCCTGGCTGAACTCCTGGCCTCAGGGGAGCTTTGTACGTGCCTCATCCCATCTGGGTCAGCCATATTGCTGCTTCAATCTTGGAGCTAAAGTTCAGTCTGTCAACATTTCTAATCTGTAACTCTATCTTCTCTCTTCTAAAAAAGGAGAATTTTCTCTCCTTTTTTATTACTATATATTCAAGTTAATTTTGCCCTCTAGCATTAGGAACTTAAGCAGATAAACAGCTCTTCATTTATTTCTGATCATTGTTTTAGACCAAAATAATTGGCAGATACATAGAAGGCCTTAGTAAAAGTAAACATCATGTAGGATTAATACTAATATTTGATTTGGGGTTTTTAGTTATGGTAATGGAATATTGTTCCCCGGATTTCATAGGTGCTCTTCCAAATCTTTGCATTAGGTGAGAGATCTTCCTAGTTCCCATGTTCCAGAGGGTCCCAGTTACCCAACCCCCATTAGTTTTTACATACAGTTGACCTTTGAACAACATGGTTTGAACTGTGCAGGTCCACTGATACACAGATTTTTTTCGAACAGACAAGGATAGAAAATACAGCATTCGGGATGTGAAAACCATGTGTACAGAGGGCAGATATTTGTATCCACGAGTTCCCCAGGGCTGACGGCAGGACTTGAATATGCATGGATTCAGGATCCGAGGGTGTTCCTGGAAACAATTCCCAGGCCCCTGCATGTATCAAGGGGCAGCTGAGTTTGGAAACAGCTTATTGTGTCCCGTGTTCTGTCTCAGAGTTGCCATTTTACAGCCATCAATGACAGCACAATGTTTTGTGATACTAGTGCCGGCATGTTTTTCCCCCTAGATCTCTGGAAACACCAAGTCATGAAAGAAAACTTTTCAGTCTCAAGACCACAAATAGCTGAAAAATTTAGACAGAGATTAATGCAGAATTATCAGGATCATGGAGTAGAGGTATGTATTGAGAATTAGTCATTCTGTTGGTTTTTATAACATCATCCCAAACAAGGAAAACTTTCTCATTTAACTGCTCTCCTAATGCTTCCCTTATTCCCTAAGAATGATTATATGAATACTGAGGCTAAGCCCAAAACAGAGCAATTGTCAGTTGTTTGGTTTTTTCCTTTATTTATTTATTTATTTATTTTTGAGACAGAGTCTTCCAGGCTTGAGTATACTGGCACGATCTCGGCTCACTGCAACCTCTGCCTCCCAGGTTCAAGTGATTCTCCTGCCTCAGCCTCCTGAGTAGCTGGGACCACAGGCGTGTGCCACCACACCCTGCTAATTTTTGTGTATTTTTACTAGAGACGGGGTTTCACCAAGTTGGCCAGACTGGTCTCGAACTCCTGACCTCTGATGATCCACCTGCCTTGGCCTACTAAAGTGCTGGGATTACAGGTGTGAACCACCATGCCCAGCTATAATCATTAGTTTTTAATTTTGGGAAAAAATTGATTTCTAGTAAAGATCTGAGTCATTAGAATATATATGTTGGCAAATTTCAAATTTGGTCAATTTTTTAAAGTAACCTTAGAGTTTATGAATGAGTTGATTTTTAGCAACATATTCTGTTGTTGATTTGTTAGTATGAAAAGCCTAAGTGAGGGGAACCAAAATAGCCTGTAATGCTGTTACCTAGAAAACATTAAAATGTAGCATATGAAAAAAAGCCAACAGCACAGAAAGGTATCATTTTCACCCATCCCCATGCCACCATCTCCAGCTTCCTCTCTGCAAAGGAAGCCAGCTTCAGCAATCTGTGTGTGTCCTTCCAGAAAAAATATTCGAATCCATAACAACTCCATATATTATATTAAATAATAATATACATTTAATACATGCACACACACATATACACAGTCCTTGGGTTTTGAAACATGTTTATTCTTGTCAGGAAGTGCCTTGCTAAATCAAATCAACCCACTGAAAAGACAGGATAAGAGAGTAGACATGGATATTTGACTGTAACAGAGTTTTGAGGAGTGTTAACAAGTGCTTTTAGGTAACTGTGAATCCAGTTTCCTGTGAAACTCAACCATTTAAAGAAATTTGACTTGACAAAACGTACTTCATTTTTTAAAATGCCTTCTCCAGACTTACATTTTTCCAAGTTCTTCAGATGTTCTCCATTATTTTCTAATACACATCTCAGTTCTTATGAGGTAGAGAATTCACAAGCTTGGTTGGGGATACATTTTTCCTCAGAACTTGATGACTTACATGTATTAGTTTAAGCTTTCAATCATAAACAAACATGATACTGGATACTCTGAGTGGGTGAAGTAGTTTCCCATCCTTGAGACAAGGAAGTGGTTAGGGTGGGACCTATCAGAAAAAAGGATGGAAAAAATTTGTGACTTACCTTACAAAGAAAGGAAATTCTGGCCAGATGTGATGGCTCATGCCTATAATCCCAGCACTTTGGGAGGCCAAGGTGGGCAGGTCACTTGAGGCCAGGAGTTCAAGACCAGCGTGGCCAACATGGTGAAACCCATCTCTACTAAAAATGCAAAAATTAGCCGGGTGTGGTGGCACATGCCTGTAGTCCCAGCTATTTGGGAGACTGAGGCAAGAGAATTGCTTGAACCCGGGAGGTAGAAGTTGCAATGAGCCGAGATTGTGCCATGGCACTCCAGCCTGGGCGATAGGGTGAGAATCCATCTTTTAAAAAAAAAAAGGAAATTCTGATACATTGATACATGCTACAGTGTGGATGAACCTTGCGGACATTATTGCTAAGTGAATTCAGCCACTCACAAAAGCACAAATACTCTATGATTCTACTTATATGGGGTACCTAGAGTAGCCAAATTCAGAGAGACAGAAAGGACGGTGGTTGCCACGGTCTGAGAGGAAAGAATAGGTAATTATTGTTTATTGGATACAGAGTTTTCATTTTACAAGATGAAGAGTTCTGGCGGTGGATAGTGGTGATGGTTGCACAGCAATGTGAATATACTTAATGCCATTGAACTGTACCTTTAAAAATGATAGAGTGGCAAATTTTATGTTTAACACAATAAAGACAACAGTTTTGTAACTCAAGTTCTTCTCATTTCTTATCTGTATGCTTCACCCCAACATTGAGGTCTTGTGGGAAAGAAGCATGGATGTCAGTAGGCAGGGTAAACCCATATCAGGTACACCCCACACTCTGGGCACACTTGAAGAGGATGGTGTCAGCCTGCCAGTGTCTTGAAGTCAGGGTCCTCAGGATGCTCCAGCCCCTCCAAAGTCTGTGCCTGGTGGGCTTCTAGCCTCTTCTGGACCATCTGCAGTGACAGTGAACTTACTCTTCCAGCCACACCCCCGTCTCCATCATAGAGGTAGTGCAATCTTGGCTCACTGCAGCCTCTACCTCCTGTGTTCAAATGATGCTCCTGCTTCAGCCTCCCAAGTAGTTAGGATTACAGGCACATGCCACCGCACCTGGCTAATTTTTGTATTTTTAGTAGAGACGGGGTTTCACCATGTTGCCCAGGCTGGTCTTGAATTCCTGACCTCCAGTGATCTGCCTGCCTTGTCTTCCCACAGTGCTGGGATTACGGGTGTGAGCCACTGCTCCCCAGCCCACTGAAGTGTTTTGTCAGCAGAGGTGGGTATTTTAGAAACATCTTCAAAATACCTCGTGTGTGCCTGATATTTAACAAATTGTTACAAGGGATTCCAAGATGAAGCAAACCACAGAAACTCAATTGCTGCTGGCGGGCTTCAGGGCTAGACTTGGGCCATAACAAGGCCCAGTGCTTGCCATGCTGCACCCCAGGCTGGTTCTCTTGAAGAATCCCTGGGGCAATCTGCTGCTCTTCCACCCAGTGCCATCCATCGTGGTTCAGGTTTGAATGGTGGTGACAGAACAGCCCAGTGGAAGGCGGTGCTGCTTACTGGGCAGAACTGGCCCAATAATCTGAGTCTGCAGCTCTTATGCCAGCGAGGGTTTCAGAGAAGAAACTGGCCAATGGTGCCCACTCACGCTGCATTCTGACACAAGCACAGCTGACATTTACACTGACCCAGGGAGGCAGGGTAAGTTGCAGAGCAGGTTTTAGGAAATAAATTGCCCTGAGAGCCCAGAGAAGCCTGAGCCCACGGAAGCCACAACAGCTGCTTCATGTGCTGCTTCCAGAAGGCCGAGTGCACAGGGCTGGCATCAATGGCAGATGGCCAGGGAACAGGAGCTGGCCTGACCCCAGAAGTGTCACAGATAAAATTCACATTACAGTGTAGGCTGGGTCCTAGACTTGGCCCCATAAACGTTCTCACCCCCCATCCCTGCAGATAGATACACACACAGAGACACACTCATTGATGCACAGAGGGACAAACACACTCGCATAGATATGCAGGTCCTGGTTGGGTAAGTCTGTCCTACCTTCCAAATATTAGCTCCCATTTCTCTCCAGAACCTAAATCTAAGACTGCCTTGGAAAGTTGGGCTGTTCCTTAATTGCCAACTCTTCAAAAACCATGCCCAGTCTCCTGGAGAAAGGGAGTGAGTGGAATTGCCTAGAGAATGAGCTGTGTGGCCCTTAGACTAGAGCAAGAGAAGCCCCTGCCAGATACCCCATATAGCAGAGGGCCCCTCTCTGGCCTTTCTCCAGCTATGACCTTCCACACAAGGGAACAAATCCCCTGGGCCACAGGGACATGTCCACTCAGAGCCCTCACCTTCATTTTAGACCATGCTCCAAGTACCTGGGACCTGGAATTCCCTGAGTCCATGGCCTGAATGGGCATCTTCCCTGGATCACCTTCCCCAGAGTGAGAATGGACCTCATCACTAGCGTGCACACTCCTGGCCTGGAAGTGACCAAGGAGCAACTGGGAGTGTGGATGGAGTTTGGACATGCGGGTTAGGATGTCCGCTCACAGGCATGTGAAGACCTCACAGCATGACGTGAGGCGAGAGCTGGGAAGAGAAGGGGGCCACACGGTAAACTATAGGTTGGGGACCAGCTCTCGCCATGTGTCCCTACTTCAGTACAGAACTGAGAGTAGTCGACTGGGTGTGGTGGCTCACACCTATAATCCCAGCATTTTGGGAGGCCGAGGTGGGTGGATCACCTGAGGTCAGGAGTTTGAGACCGGCCTGGCCAACATGGTGAAACCCCGTCTCTACTAAAAATACAAAAATTAGCCGGGCATGGTGGTGCACCCCTATAATCCCAGCTACTTGGAGGGCTAAGGTGGGAGAATTGCTTGAACTTGGGAGGCCAAGTCTGCAGTGAGCTGAGATCGCGCCACTGCCCTCCAGCCCGGGCGACAGAGCAAGACCCCATCTAAAAAACAAACAAATAAACAAACAAACAAACAAACAAACAGTAGTCCAGGAATAATAAATTCAAATCTGGCTTTCCAGGTCAGTTTTCAGGTCTGTTTTTCAAGGTAGGAGAATTAAACATTTCATTCTGATAGTTTGTTAGTTTGATTTATAACCTTTCAGTGTTTCACCACATGCTATGTGGGCTTCCATTGTCCTCGTGTCCCTGCAAATGTTCAAAGCCGACCTGAAAGAGAGGCTTGCAAGGCTACAGCCCATGGTTGGATACAGAGGAGAAACAAAAGTGGGTCTGTGAGCCAAGGAAAAGAGTGCCTGGGGCCCTGGCATGGTGAGGCCCTGCTAGGGTGACTGTGAATAATGAATGCCTCTTTCCTTTCAGATCACTTTCAGGAAAGATCACCTTGAGGCCTGCCTCCTTTCCCTGGGTTGTGACGTGATGGCAAGAGAACGCAGCAACTTTGAGACCTACTCCACGTGCTATGAGCATGTGTTGCATCACGCTAGGCAGAGGCTCAGCCAGAAAGAGCAAGTAGGCTCCCAGAGAGACGAGAACTGCAGTGGGGAATGGGCGTGGGCAGGGAGGCTCAGGAGGCACTCAGAAGAGAAAAGTAAAACTGAGAGGGTTGGGGTGCATCTAGTGGTTCTTATGCCAGAATTGAGGGTGAATGGTACCCTCAAATCTCTCTTCTCATTGGCTCATTCCCTTGGGCTCTGGTATTCTCAGTTGCCCACACTAGGTTATGTGCTTTGGAGGTGTCCAGCGGGGAAACACAAAAGGTGAGCAACAAAGGGGCTGGCCCTGGAGGGGAAGGTGCATAGCTGACCTTTCCACCCTTGGCAAACACAAGGCGCCGTGCGCTGTTCCTGGTCTGGGAAGGAAGCCAGGATCCTTAAGTAAACTCTCCCTTCAGGATGGATGTCATGGGTCAGTCTCACTGGGAGACTTCCTTAACATATGAGCCCACTGGTGGGATGGAAGAGTCAGTCCACCTGCCCTGGGCTGCCCACTATTGTGAAGGTAGATTGCATCAGAGGTTTAGTGTGATTTTACTTTATACCTTCGAAAAGTTCGGAAGTCTAAAAGACTAGCCAAAACACCAGATGAAGTATTAAAATGTCAAATAATGAGCCGTGGAGCCACCCTCATTTTGGCCTATCCCCCATTACTCAGTTCTTGGCATCAGTGCGGGTACCTGGAAGTCGGTGTTGTCTTCTGAGGCTGTGTTAAGCATCCTGAAGTATAGTGGGGCAACACACACAGTCTCAGCTCCAGGCACAGCCTAAGGTTCTCAAAATGGGGCTCCATTAACACAAATAGGAAGTGTTTGGAACGCGTCGTGCTGACCTGAGCTGTGGTTGGAAGATGAAATGTCTGAGTTTGGTTGTGTACTGCTTTCTCCTGCTCAGGAATTAGATGCTGCACGAAGAGGCCAGGGTCCGCCTGAAGACAGTGCTGGCCAGGTAGGTCATTTCCTGTTAAAAAGGTTCTCTTCTCCATTTCTCACATCCACACTCTCAGGGTTAGCCAGCTGTGGGACACCTGAGTGTCATTTGCTTGTGTCACCTGTGGAAGTCCCGTCAGTGAAGGTCCACTGCAGGAACACCAAGGAGCGTGCCTTCACTCTTGGCAAGCAACCCTCCTTAGGGTGCATTTTTTTCCCCTTGAGTTTTTTGGTCACTTTTGTTATTTTGTACTGGCTTTGTTTTGTTTGTTTTGTTCTGTTTTTGTTGTTACTTTGGGGAGTTTTGTTGTTGTTGTTTGTTTTCTTTTGATGCCACTTAAGGTGCATTCCAGGCCAGGCGCGGTGACTCACGCCTATAATCCCAGCACTTTGGGAGGCCGAGGCGGGTAAATCACCTGAGGTCAGAAGTTCAAGACCAACCTGACCAACATGGAGAAACCCCATCTCTACTAAAAATACAAAATTAGCCAGGTGTGCTGGTGCATGCCTGTAATCCCAGCTACTCAGGAGGCTGAGGCAGGAGCATTGCTTGAGCCCGGGAGGTGGAGGTTGTGGTGAGCCAAGATCACGCCACTGCACTCCAGCCTGGGCAACAAGGGCAAAACTCCATCTCAAAAATAAATAAATAAATAAATAAATAGAATAAAGTGCCTTCCAAAAAAGAAAAAGGATGTTTGGGCTGAGGTGTCAAGGGGAGGCCAGTTTGGAGATGGAGGCCAAGACGGTTGAAGTATTTTTCTCTAACTGAAAAGGGCCTATGTACTAGCTTTTCTGGGGTCACTTCTTCACCAACCAGTGTCTGGCACTGTTCTGGGACCTTTGAATTGTCCTTAAATTCTTCTGCCCACATTTATGCAGCAGAATGTTCACTCGCTTCATTAGGTTTAAAATGGAAGTGAAATTCAATACTGATCTATAAGAAACTATTTTGTAGGAGCAGTTTGAAACTCCTAAATTGTTTTTCTCTCTCTCTCTCTCACACACACACACACACATACACACACACACACATTTTCTCTTGCTTCTAGGTTGCAGAACTCAGTCATGATATGATCATGGAAATCACCGCTCTGAGAGCCCAACTCACAGACTTGGAAGAGGTGAATCTGAATCTCAAGAAGCAGATTAGAAAAGAAGTCCAAGAAGAATATGAGGCATTAGTCCGAGCTTTGTTTCAGACCTGTTTACACATGAAAGTAAGTGTCCTGTGTCGAACATCTGGGCCACCCACTGGGGAGCCGAGTGTAACGGATTCCCACGGTGGCTGCACACCCAGGGATCGATGACAGAATAATGGGCTTTGTGGGAACAAGAGATTCTTAGGCCCTAAGAATTTTCTAGCTCTAAGCTTTCACTGCAGAAAGAGAGTCAGCAATGGGTTGTCACTAACCATGATAGACACTGAATTTGGGGATAATAGAGAAGTCTCTCTTTTCCCCTCTATTGACGGTCGCCACTGGCACTGTCTGATTGCTGTTGGGAGGAGAAAGTTCTGCTGCTCCAAATTCCCCACCTCCCCAGTTTCTACCACCGTTTTATCTGTTAGTGTGACTTTCCAGAGTACAGTGCCTGGGCCAGGCCAGACCTTATGTAGGTAGCAGCAGGTGCCTCTGGAGAACTCCCTGGGCACATTCAGAATTTGAATCAGCTTCCAGAATTTTTTCAAACCCTCAAAATGCCTGCCAGCTTTACTCTCACATTCAACGTCAGCAAGCTGCTGACCTGTCAGCAAAGATCCATGGCAGAAGAGAAGTGATGGGGTGCGCGTGCACCCGCAGCATTGTGGAAGCCAATCACTTTCATCTGATGTTTGCGCAGCCGTAAGATAGATGCCCCACGCCTAAAATGGGCCATCAGGGAGACTGGTCCAGCAGACTCGCCGGTGTGAATTTCAGTACAACCTACCACCTGCAAGTCCACAGCTTCCCCCAAACCTGTCCCCTTCCCTGCTATTGGATACACCCCAAAGCCAGCCCCATTTGGGTCCTTGCATCTCTCCCCAGGGATTGCAGAGTGGCCCCCAGGGTTATTAGGTTAACAGGAGCTTCCACCGGTGCTCACCTTGGCCTGGTCATTCCAGCGAGAATTTCTTCTTACCTGCAGTGTAAATGATTACACGTATTAAAGGATCAAATCCAAAATGTATTGGGTCTGGTGTTGCAAGAGAGGAATGGGCAGACAGTGACAGCTGGAATTTGCTAAGCCATCTTTCAGGTGTGAGATTGTTGAGAAATGTCTTAAGTTCCTTTTAGCTTCTGCCAAATTCCTAGTTAAAAAGTGGATTCTCTCTGTTTCCCAGGCTGAAGTGGTTCCACCAAGCCTCCTACAGTAGGGAATCCCTGTTATATTCCAGCATCCCATGAAGTTGCTAAAGCTTCTGCTGTGTGGCCAGAGCCAGGCTTCCTTCCATGGCTCCCAGCTGGGCACCCTCCTCCTGCCTTCCTCTCTAGGGAAGTGGTTTAGAAGTTGGAGGACACCCCTACCCTACCTCTCACCCCAAAGACACTGGGTGTCTTAGTCTGCTCAGGCTGCCATAACAAAATACGATAGGCTGCACAGCTTAAACAACAGAAAGTCTATTTCTCACAGTTCTGGAAGCCGGAAGTCTGAGATCAGGGCGCCAGTGGAGTCTGCTTCTGGCTGAGGGCCTGCTTCCTGGCTCGCAGGTGGCTGCCTTCTCACTGTGCCCTCACATGGCAGAGATGGAGAAAAAGAAAGGTCTCTCTCCCTCTTCCTATAAGGCCACAGTCTTATTGCAATAGGGCCTCCCCCTTATGTCCTCAGTTTAATCTTAATTACCTCCTAAAGATCCTGTCTCTAGATACTGTCACAGTGCTGGTTAGGGTTTCAACATATGAATCTGGGGAAGACACAATTCAGTCCCTAGCACTGGGTCTTCAGTTGTACTTACCATTGATCAAGCTGTTTCCTCACAAGGCATTTAGCCATAAGCCATTCAGAACAGAATATTTCCTAATGAGGTTTCTGTTAGATCCTAAATAGGAAGGCAGTCGGCTGGACTCCCTCCTCCACTTTATCTATATTTAACAGAGCTCCTCAGGAGTGGCTCAACTACAGTGTCTTGTCTGGTCACATTCTGCCGTGAGTCAACATAGCAGCAAAAATCTTTGGTTCAGCTTCCCAAGTAACTCTTACCAGGGGCAGTTTGCTCAGCAGGTTTTCTACCTGTGAGCCTCCACTGTCCGCCTGGCTCAGCCTGCCTTGGTGTTGACAAGGAAGGCACAGTCTAAGATGTGCTGGTGTCCCGATGATGAAGCCCTGTGGATAAAAGACAGCACTCAGGGGGCCGCTAGTGTGACTTCCTTATAGTACATGTCAGAATAATTGTCTGAGTAGGTGACATCTTAATGTGAAATTACTTACAAAAGTTAAGTTGTAGAAGGCAAAATGGCTTTTCTTCAACTGCCCTTCACACTACCCAAATCCATTTTACTTCCTTGACTTGAGTCTGCAATTTGCAGGAGAAGCTGGATGAGAATCAGCTTAATTTGATCCAGAAAGTGTGTGAGCTCATCGGTGAAGTGAGAACAGAAGGGATTGACAATATGAAGGACCTAAAGAAAAAATGGGGCTCTGCCAGCCCTGATGAAGGAATGAAAGAAAACCCAGCCAAAGTATGTGATTTCATTTAGCAATGGGCTATCAGTGTTTCATTCTAGCAGCTGACCCCACCATTCACCCCATTAGCATTCCAACCTGATTTCCCTGAGAAAGCATTGCATCAGGCATTTTAAAGGGGACACGAGGACGCACTACACAATTGTGTCATCTTCTGGAAGGCATGTTTCTGGTGTTAGGGTTTGTGCCCTTGCTATGAAAATGTTGGGGGTAGACTTTTCTGAAAATGAGTCTTCTTAGCAGGAACAGCTATGGGCCTTGGAGCAGGACAACTGCAGCCTGGCCACCCTGGTGTGCAAAGTGAGGAGCCTGGGCCACTGGAGGCTGGCTGTGCAGCAGGCGCGCTTCCAGGCCCAGCTGAGCAGGACGGAGAAGGTGAGCTCTGGTGGGGGAGGTCCAGACAGTCCCCAGAATGGCTAATCCCAAGCCTCTATGGCTGCAGCTGCCATGGTGTCACTGTAGCTATGAGTGGCAGTGGTGTCAGGTGGCAGGGTCAGCCATCCTGAAGGATCTGACAGTTGGCGATTTTTCCTGGGAACAGGCCGTGTGAGAACTTCAGGAGAAATAGAAAGGGGGCAGAAGCAAAGAGGGCAAGAAAGAACAGATCAGAGAATTCAGCATAAGGGAAGGGTGTGAAAAGATGGAGGAAAGGCTTCACCAAGGGCTTGAGGCTGTTTTGTCAAAAGACTGCGTATCTTTGGGCTTCATACATGATTATCTGAGGAAAATGAAGTCACAAAATAATAAGTGAGAAATCTGCTTTAAGGCAAATTGAATCCAAAGTGCATATTGATGGCTATTTGGAAACTTTCACATCCTGTTTCTGAAAGTATTTACTCTGATATGTTACCCTCTTCTGAATTAAAATCATGGAAGTGGGCTGGGCATGGTGGCTCATGCCTATAATCCCAGCACCTTGAGAGACCAAGGTGGGTGGATCACCTGAGGTCAGGAGTTTGAGAGCAGCCTGGCCAACATGATGAAACCCAATCTCTACTAAAAATACAAAAAAATTAGCTGGGTGTGGTGGCAGGCACCTGTAGTCTCAGCTACTCAGGAGGCTGAGGCAGGAGAATTGCTTGAACCTGGGAGGTAGAGGTTGCAGTGAGCCAAGATTGTACCACTGTACTCCAGGCTGGGTTGACAGAGCAAGACTCCATCTCTAAACAAATAAATAATAAAATAAAATAAAATCGTGGAAGCAGTGACTAGCAGGAGCTCCTTTCTACCAGAAGTTTGAAAGAAGAATGGATGGGAAAGTGGTTTAGATACTGCTTTTGAAACTAAAAATCTGGAAAGGAAACCTATTTCCTATCTTACTGTGTTTGGGATGTTTACAGGAATCTATTCAAAGTAAAAAAGAGTGTTTGCGCATCAAGCTGATGGCAGAGCGAGAAGTGGGTTTATTTCGTCAGCAGATCCTGGCTCTCAGGCAGGCCCTGGCCAGGGCTCAGGCCGACAGCGCGAGGATGTGGAAGCAGCAGGACAGCCAGGTATCCGAGCCTCAGAGCCTCTTCCTCGTTCCCTTTGCAGTTCACTCTGCAAAGCTGAACGTGGCCACCAGACTTGGTGCTGTGGCTGCCAGGAGCAGTCACCAGAGCACCACAGCCTGAAGCCACACAGATGGTACAACCAGGAAAAGATAGCCTGGACCTGGGCTTCCCTTCTCCTCCCTCCTCTCCAGCCCAGAAACCAAGGGCGGTGGCCAAAAGGCTATTGTTCTTACTCGTATGTGGCTAAGATGAGAAAATACTACTCATAAGCAAGATCATTATCGCATACGTGTGTGTGTGTGTGTGTGTCCATTTCTCTGAGGATCTTTTTGCTAGAGGCTGTCCTGGGATCCTGTGATCTCGGCCTCTGCCTTGAACGCAGGCTTTCATGGGGCAAGCACGCTTCCACTTGACACCAATCCTCTGCAAGCAGAGTGTGGTCCAGCCTGCAGTGTCATCCCCGCACGAGACTCTGTCCCGTCCCAATGATCCATACCATGTCTCACTTTCAGAAGTTACTGCTGCGCGACAGGGGCTGGCACCAAAATAAAGGCACTCTAAGCCTAAGCATGTCCTAACTGTGCCAACCCTCTGGGCGTGAATGAAGCAGGGGGACTGTAGGTTTAGAGTGAGAACAGTTGAGTTGAAGTTACAGCCTGGGAAAGCTAGGCATATTTAAAGCATGAAATTTAATTTGTTCATCTTAGACCCTAATTCTTCCATGATTCTGCATCAGATGAGTTAATTATGGTAACTCATATGAGTTATCATGAGCTATATGATAAACTGTAACGTCATCATACAGATATGAATAATAATATTATGATTAAGGATTGATCCTTATGATTAAGGATTGACCATCTAGTACTTAGGATAATACTTATTAGAAAAACTTTGGAACAGAACCAAATTATTTCTACACTAATCCTCCTTTAACCGTCTAGAATCTGACTTCCCCAGATTTTTGGAAGTGAAAACAGAGCCTAAATCAGAACCTCCTTTCCTCGCCCATTGCGTGTATGGCATGGCCCCGTCTCTTTGGTGTTAAACGCTTCCACGGCTACCTCCTGACAAAGGCTCCACAACAATGTAAATGTTGTTTGTGCTAGATATGATTATCTGGTTGGTAAGCTAACATACATATTATCAAATCTGGGTATTAAAAGACCAAATTGTTTGCCCTGGCACTGCTGTACAGTGGCGTGATCGTGTGCCTGGCTTTTGGTGTCTGTTCTGCTTCCCTCTGTCACTGCAGGGCTCACAGTGTAAATGCCAGGCTAGGGTAGATCCTGGTGCTCTTGCTAGCGCAGGACTGAATCATTGGGCCACGTTTTCTAGAGTCCAGGAATACACCATGTAGTTGTGTCCCTGAGCTTGGGGGACACAGGAGGGGGTGGTTATCATGCTGTCCAACGTCTCCCCACTTCTGCTGGGAAGAAAGGCTCCCTGCCTCCTCCTTTCTTTTGGCGTTTTCCTGCCACAGGCTCAACTGCTGAAGGAGTTAGAACATAGAGTGACCCAGGAAGCTCTCACCCAGGAGCAGCTGCACTTCATGAAAACATCCAGGATGGAGAAGCTCTTGGAAGATGTGGGGCAGAAAGAACAGCAATTGCAGCTCCTTAGTAAAGAGGCTGAGAGGGCTTCTGAGCTGGGCCAGCTGCAGCAGAAAAAAATGAAGAGAGACCTCCACCAGGTAAACCTCAGTAAGAGGGGGTGTCCACCCAGAGTGCACCTGGTGCCCCAGCGAGGGCTGCTGCATCCTTCCCCCGTGTGCCCATGCCTCTCTCCTGTCCCCCACAGCAGTGTTTCTCAACCTCTGTGACTTATAGGCAGCCCAGGAGAATGGTAGCATCTCTCCCCACAGTGTCTCCCGACACCACGAAGATTGCTGGGCAGGCCATGGTAGCTTGGCTGCCTCAGGGCTTGGAATCTCAACACCCCTGTAACCTACTGGAAAAACCTGTTTCTACCCAGCTCTCATCTTTGAACTAGGAATCTTTTAGAAAATTCCAAGAAGTAACCTGGAAAAGCAGCAAGTGTTAATGGAGGCTATGACAAGAAGATTTTATTCAAGTGTTTCGGGAACTGCAGAGACAAAAATGAAAGGCAAAAGTGGTTTGCAGAGCCAATGTATTTTGTTGACTATACCCAACAACAAAGAAATAGAATAGAATACTAGAATGTAGATGTGGATTAATACAAGTTTCAACAAAGCAGAAAACAATGTAATTCAATAAAAAACGAAAAAGTAACTTCCAAAGCAGGCACCTCACACATATCCATTGAATGAGCAGATCGCTGAATTCATTCATCAGAGATAGAAGGAGATGGAAATTGAAAGGCAACTTATTGGTCAAGTGGTTTTTTTTGTTTTTTGTTTTTTCTTTTTTTGAGACAGAGTCTCACTCTGTCACCCAGACTGGAGTACAGTGACGTAATCTTGGCTCACTGCAACCTCTGCCTCCCAGGTTCAAGCGATTCTCCCACCTCAGCCTCCTTTGTAGCTGGGGCTACAGGCACGAACCACTACACTCGGCTAATTTTTGTATTTTTAGTAGAGACGGGGTTTTTACCACGTTGGCCAGACTGGTCTCAAACTCCTGATCTCAGGTGATCCGCCCACCTCGGCCTCCCAAAGTGCTGGGATTACAGGCGTGAGCCACCGTGCCCGGCCCCTGGTCAAGTGTTTTAAGTGCTCAAGGAAGAGCTCAATAAGGAGAATTCTATCTACAAAAATGACAAAAAAAAAAAAAAGATGAAAATTTGAATTGAGGAAAAGCTAAAGAAAATATTTATATAAAAGTGGAGAGAGAAAATGAGTAGTTTTAGAATAAAAGAAAATTAGAATTTCATATTTATTGCATGAAAAGTAAACAAAAATATGACCGAACCTATAAGAAAACTTTGGCATCCCGATTTTGTGTTACAAATTATGCTTTTCTAAATGCCACCACAGAAATAGAGAAGTTCGTAGATTCGTTTCTTCAAGGTTTTCTCTAGTTAATTATTTGTTTCATGGCAGAGATTCTAGAAGTGATCAAAACAAATATTTTAAGGTTTCTCTCAACAAATGTGCACTTTACCATATGTATGTATAAGCCATTGGCCCTTTGTAGAGTACAGCTCCAGCTCTCCTGACAGCTCAAGTGTCCCTATGCCTACCTACTCTAAACAGCAATCCTCAGCCAGCAAGACCCGAGCCCCCCACCCACACCCCCGGCCCCTTCCAGCCAGAAGTGGCTTCTTTAATCTATCCCCGGCCTCCGACTCCATGGGCAGATATTCACTGTCTGACCTCGGACAGCCTCAGTGTCCTGGCCTGTTGCCTGTGCCTGGTTGAGGTCACTTATAGAAGGGGTTCCCAACCCCCCGGATGTGGGCCAGTAGGGGTCCATAGCCTGTGAAACTGGGCCGCACAGCAGGGGATGAGCAGCTGACAGTATAACCGCCTGAGCTCCGCCTCCTGTCAGACCAACCGAGGCGTTCGATTCTCATAGGAGCACCAACCCTACTGTGAACTGCACACGTGAGGGATCTAGGTTGCCCGCTGCTTATGAGATTCTAGCTAATGACTGATGATCTGAGGTAGAACAGCTTCATCCTGAAACCATTTGCCCCCACCCCATGGAAGAATTGTCTTCCATGAAACCGGTACCTGGTGCCAAAAAGTTGGGGACCAGTGATTTAGAGCACAGGCCCTGGAGTGGAACTGACTGGTTCATACCGCCGGCCCTCCAGCGGTGTGGCTTTGGGCAAGGTCTGTGGCCAATCTGTGCTTTGGTTTCTTCATCATTACAATGGAAACAATGTACTCACTTCACTAAATTTGGGAGGGGGTGATTAAATTAAGAAATTAAGTAATTCAAATAAAGCCCTTAAAACCGGGCCTAAAACAGGCATGACTGTAGTCCCAGCTACTTGGGAGGCTGAGGCAGGAGGATCGTTTGAGCCCAGGAGTTCAAGGCTGCAGTAAACTAAGATTATGCCACTGTAATCCAGCCTGGGTGAAAGAGTAAGACCCTGTCTCTAAAAAATAAAAATTAAAAAATTAAAAAGTAAAAAGTTAACAAAAATAAACAGGCCAGGTGTGATGGCTCACTCCTGTAATCCCAGCACTTTGGGAGGCCAAGGTGGGAGGATTGCTTGGGCAACATGGTGAAACTCTGTTTCTACAAAAAATATAAACATCAGCCAGGGCTGGGGGTGTGCATCTGTGGTCCCAGCTACTCAGAGGGCTGAGGTGGGAAGATCACTTGAACCTGGTTGCAGTGAGCCAAGATTGCGCCAATGCACTCCAGCCTGGGTGACAGAGTGAGACTTCGTCTCAAAACAAACAACAGCAAAACCAGGGTGTGATACATAGCTCTCAGTAAATGTTGGCTGTTTATATTTTTGTTGGGAATGTGAAGGTAGACAGCCTTGGAAACAGGTAGATAGACCTGGACTCAAATCCTGGCTGTGTGGCCTTGGGCAAGTCACTTCACCGGCGTCTGTGACGTGGGGACGAGTGGCCTAACACAAGGAGGTCCTGTGGAAGCACGCTTCCTTGCTGATATTTCTCAAGTTTCCTAGTGGCAGCCTGGCTCAGAAAATCTTGATATGTTTCCTTGGTACCAGCCCACAGGGAATAAGGATCCTACACAAATCCCTATAGTATGGAGAGGGACTTTGGACCTAGTTTATATTAGGATGTTTTCCTAACTCCGGAGCTCTGGTAATCTTCTGAAATTTAAACGATGCTTGGGGGCCCCCCGACATAAGAAAGAGCCCCCTTTAACGTTTAGGGCAAGACTCTGTGGGGCCTTCTGGCCAGGTCTGTGCAGGCAGAGTGGGATGTATAACTCACGCGGCTGAATGCTTAAGACTAGCACATGTGTTCAATCCCTAAGGTTGCCTTACTAAATTATCACAAACTGAGTGGCTTAAGAGAATAAAAACGTATTCCTTCACAGCTCGGGAGGCCGGAAGCCTGAAACTAATGTGCTGGCAAGGCTGGTTCCTTTGGAAGCTCTGAGGAAGAATCTGTTCCATGTCTCTTCTTAGTCCCATTTTGGTCTCTGGCATTCCTCGGCTTGTAGCTACCTCACTCCAGTCCTGCCTCTGTCATCATGGAGCCTTCTTCCTATGTGCTCCTCTGAGTGTCTGTATCCTTATCCTGTCTTCTTTATAAGGACAACAGTCATTAGATTCAGGGCTCGCCCTAAATCCAGTATGACCTCATCCCAACAAGTCCATCTACAAAGACCCTATTTCCAAATAAGGTCACAGTCTGAGGTTCCAGGTAGACATGAAATTTGGGGGATGCTCTTCCAACCACTAGAGTATGTATTACTTTTCTACCAGTAAAAACAATTAGGAGATTATAAATTGAAAAAGCAAAACCACCTGTGATCTGGGCAGATGAGATACACTGTGGCCCCGGGCACTGTCTGGCTGGGGAGTGTGGGCTAGCTGTGCACGGGCAGAGCCACACAAGTCAATACAAAGGTTGCTTCTGGAAATGGGCTTCTGTCAGACCAGGGCATTCCTGGCAGATGCTGAACTGAGAGCAGAGATCTAGGAGAGAGATCAAGTCTCTCCTCTGTTTGAAAACGTCCAGGGGCTCTGACAGGTCCTCAGTGTAGATGCAGTGGCTGGGCCTCCAAGGCCATGTGTGCACTGGGCCCTCACTCCCCTCTTCCTCTACCTATCTGATGAAATAGACATGAAAGATATAACCTTGTGAATAAGCTCCTAGCTATTATAAGGTATAAGGGATTCCATGGACTGTTCCTTTTTGGTTAAGTTCCTGGTCTTCCTGAAGTTCTTGATTCTCAGAAGGCTGAGTTCAGCCTAATCAGGACTTTAAGAGCCAGTTCTCTTTGCAGGGTAGCCTGGGACACCCATTTTCCCTAGGAACCCCATGTGAACTGAGGAAACGAAAGTGAGCACAAAGCATCTCAGCTTCTCATTTTCCCCTCAGATGAGAAGCCGGCTTGCCCAGGAGCGCAGTGTGAAGCTGGATGCTCTCCAGCGTGTGGAGGAGCTGCAGAGTCAGCTTCACGATGCCCAGCAGTCAGCTGTCCCCACGGGCTCCTCAGGCGGTAAGGATACCCCTGCTCTGGCTAGAAAACCTCCCAGTCTCTGGGGTCTGAACTGAGGAGGGTCTCAGGGACTCAGGTAGGACCCAGTCACTAAGTATCCAGTAGTTATTGAGTGGGTCCTCCACAATGTTTGTTGAATGACACATAAATGGATAAATCTTAATTCTGATTTACAGTCAAAACTTCCTACCTGAGCACCTTGGAGTACTGACATCCAAAACTAAAAGGTTTCAGTCATAAAAAACTGGTCTTGGCTGGGCACAGTGGCTCACGCCTGTAGTCCCAGCACTTTGGGAGGCTGAGGCGGGCGGATCACAAGGTCAGGAGATTCAGACCATCCTGGCCAACATGGTGAAACCCCATCTCTACTAAAAATACAAAAATTAGGTGGGCATGATGGCACGTGCCTGTAATTCCAGCTACTCAGGAGGCTGAGGCAGGAGAATTGCTTGAACCCAGGAGTTGGAGGTTGCAGTGAGCTGAGATGGTGCCATTGCACTCCAGCCTGGTAACAGAGCGAGACTCCATCTCTCTCTCTCTCTCTCTCACACACACACACACACACACACACAAACCCAGTTCATTGGATTTTGAGACAACGCTTTGGGATACCAATGACCCCATTTCTCAGAGTTATTCATAAAGTACATTATGATTCTTGGGTGCTGGGGGCTTGGGGTGTCCTTGAAAATAACAATCAAAATAGCTCTCTGAGCAGTGCAGTCAGCAGGCAGCATGGAGCTGAGGCCAGACCCCAGGATGTCTCTAAACCACCTTCCTCCTCTGTAAGATGAGGACTAAATACATTCTAAATTATCTTCTAGACCTGACTATGAGAAATACCACCAAATATCACTAGCCATGATTGGCCTGTTGTTATGATTGGCCATATCTCTTCTTTCCTGTTCTGTACATAGCCTAGTAGTTGAGTATGTGGGCTTTGGAGTGAAACAGCCAGAATTCAGGCCCTGGCTCTGTCACTGCTAGCTGCGTGACCTTAGACAGATCTTAATTAGCCTCTCCGTAAAATGGGAATACTCAGCTCAAAGGCTTGCTCTGAGGTCAAATGAAAAAATCCCTGTCTGACACGTAGTATAGTGGCACTTAGTAATTGTGCAAAGTGTTGGTTACTACACTTGCATACATGTGTTTAGCCCTTTATCTGTGTTTCCTTTTGGCTACTTTCCAGTGTGAATGAGCTGAGGAAACACAGCCTTTCGGGAGCACAAAGTCACAGATGAAGTTACTCTGGGTTTACTAGCAGCAGAGCTGGGCTTGGCAGTAAAGCTCACAGGGCCCTCCTTCCCGGCCTCTGGGTTGCTGCCTGGACCTGACATTGGGAGCTGGTGTCCCCCACCCCAGCCACTGGTTGTTGCTGCTGCCCCAGCCCCAACACAAAGGGCATCAAGAGCACCCAAGGGCCCTACCTTGACGCCTGACCCTACTTAGTTCTGTACCTTACACTGTCTTCTCTATGTGCCAGGGGATTTTTTCCTTCTCTCCCTTTCCCCTCTGCCCGCAGCCTAGCCAGGCATCTTTCTAATCCCTTCCTGGGATAATGCGTCCTAGTGAACTGCCATCCATGTCCTCCAACACCTGCCTATTGTGAAAGAGAACCAGAGTGAGGCACAAGGCAGGTGGGGGAGACCCTAATTCCCAGGACTGGGGCGGGAGCAGGAGTGGGAAGGAAGCTTCTTTCCCAGGAAGTAGAGGTAGAGGTTACTCCTGGGCCTCAGCCCCCTTCTGTTCCCCTGTGCAGGGAGAGGAGGGGTTCGAGGGCACAGCCAGCTATTACCCATATTGTTCATGCTAAGCAGTGAAAGTCAGCCATACTCCCACTCCTCCTTCCTTTGCTATTGTCCAGCTGGAGTCTCCACGTGACCCAGGGGTCTTCCGCAGCAGCAGCCACGGCAGCATCCCTGCCTCCCACGTCGGAAGCATAGATGTGCTCAGAGGGCGAGCTCTCTTTCCTTGCCATTAACATGATTCCCCTAGGATTTTGCAACACCTAAGAAACTATGATTTTTTTCTAAATCAATTATTTTAGAAATGCTTAAGGAAAAAATGAAATCGCTTGGCTCATAAAACTGTAAAATGTTGAGAGGAGGCCTGGCTAAATGTAGCTTCACCTAGGTTTGAACTACTTCATCAGGACTGCTTTCACTCTCTCCATCTCTGGCTCTGAGGAGGCTGGGAGCAGAAAGAAAGCAAGGCTCTTTGGAAGCAAGACGGCAGCCACCTCTGTAGCTTCCATCTCTGTTCATGCTCAGCATGGCAGGAGCAGGGCGTGGAGATGGGACAGTTAAAAAGAATTGGGCTCTGCGTGGACTGACTGGGGTCTTGTTGCCGATTTTGAACAAATCGATGGAGCCACAGACTAAGACTCATGCCTGGATGGCTTATACCCAGCTTACCTGCTGTTCCACTGGAGTAAGGGTCGGGTCAGCTCACTCTCGCCTCCTCCCTGCAGCAACTGTTTTAAATCTGCCTTGTCTCCTCAGACCTTCGTCCACTCTCCCCACCCCCTCATCCTTTCCTCTCCCACTTCACAGAGAAATTAGAAACCCTCAGACAGGAATGCCATTTTCTCCCTGTCTCCCAGCCCACCTACATCTGTACTCTGCTGCTTCTCCTTCCCTCCCGTGAACATGGAAAGGGTGTCCCTTTTCTTCCCCAGGCCAATCCCTATGTAAAGGGCCCCATCTGCTGCTACCTTCTCAGGGGCCTTGAACTATCTGCTTCTTTCTGCATACTTGGATTTCCCGTCCATGCATCCCTCTAATACATACATACATGTATGTGCCAGGATCATAAAATCCACTGTAAAATAATGCCCCCTACCCCCGCTGCCTTGACGACATATTCCTTCCCCTGCCGCTGGTCTTTCTCTTCCCAGTCAGACTTCTTGAAAGAGCTGCCTATTGTGGGGAAAAGAAAGAGATCAGCCTGTTACTGTGTCTATATAGAAAGAAGTAGACATAAGAGACTCCATTTTGTTCTGTATTTGAGATGCTGTTAATCTGTGACCCTACCCCCAACCTTGTCCTTGAAGAGACATGTGCTGTGGTAACTCAAGGTTTAATGGATTTTGGGCGTGCAGGGTGTCTTTGTTCCTAGAAAAGCTAGGTATTGTCCAAGGTTTATCCCCATGTGATAGGATGAAACAATGCTGCTAAAAGGTTTATCTCAAGGCACAGGATTTTCCTTTAAACTTATTCATGTCACAGAGATCCTTGTTCTTATGTCTTACTGCTGATTTCCTCCCTAAAAAACGATCCTATTGTCCTGCCACTCCCTTATCTTTAAGATGGTAAAGATAATTATCTATAAATACTAAGGGAACTCAGAGACCGGTACCGGCGTGGGTCCTCTGTAAGCTGAGCGCCGGTCCCCTGGGCCCCCGCTTTTCTTTCTCTATACTTTGTCTCTGTGTCTCATTTCTTTTCTCAAGTCTCTCGTTCCACCTAACGAGAAACACCCACAGGTGTGGAGGGGCAGGCCACCCCTTCAGCCTATACTCACTTTTGTGATTCACCTCACTTAATTTCTCTCAGGTTTTGCCATTTTCAACTTGTGGCTTCCAAATGTTGCTTACCACCTCATGGTCCGAGATGACTGCTTAAGCTTTCTGGCCAAAAGGAAGGAGGAAGGCAACAAGAAGGGCCCACACCTCCCTTGAAGCTTGGAGAATGGTTCCTGGAAGTCACTTGTGACACTTTGGCATACATCCCATTGGCCAGCACTTAGCCCAAGACCACACAAAGGAGACTGGGAAATGTAGTTTTTATTCTAGGACGCTGTGTGAACATAAAATGTGAGGTCTATTTCCAAGAAGAGATGGGAGATTCGCAATTGGGGGCCAAGAATAGGTCTCTACCACACCGCCAGCAATCTGATTTTTCTCACCACCATTTCATTGCAGTTGCTCTTGCCAAGATCACCTTCACTTCTGTCTCCAAGTCCAAAGGACACTGCTGAGTTCTCACTGATTTCATGTCTCAGCAGCATTTGACACAGCTGACCACACCGTTCTCCTAATTATTCCCCTGGCACCGCTCCTTGTGGTTTTTCTCTTCCTCTGGCTGCTTTTTCTGTCTTCTCTTCTAGTTCGTCCTACTGTATCCAACCTTTAAACATTGAAGTTGTTAGGGATCTTTCTGGCCCCTTCTCCTTTCACCTCACATTGTCTCCAGATAATTGCATATTTCCCACAGCTTTAATCATTGTTTGCTAAGTCTGCATCTGCAGCTCAAAACTCTCCTCTGAGCTGTAAACCCATATATCCAATGACCCATATATCCAGTGAATGATGTCTGCATTCATGTGTCTCAGGCTTACAAGTTCAACAAGAATGGAACCCGTCTTCCTATCCTCCTCCCTTCCTACTTTTGGGGTGGGGAAGATGCTGTTTCAGCAAATGGTAGTGCCAAATATCCAGTTGCTTAAGCCAGAAATTTGGGAGCTATTCTTTGTCACCCTGCAAATCTGGTTAATTCCCAACTCCGACTAATTTGAGTAGCTCTCAGTCTATCCTCTTCTACCTACCACAGTCCAAGTCTCTCATCACCTCCTTCACTTTTACTTGGTCATATGACTATCAGGCAAAAAACACCAAGTTTTGACATATTTGCTCAAAATTGATGAAGCCGAAACACAATTGATTAAGCTGAGTTAGATGCCAATTTTAAGCCCTAAATTTTATGAATTAAATCTAGATGCATAAATGTGAGGTGATAGTGAGCTATGATCATGCCACTGCACTCCAGCCTGGGCAACAGAGTGAGGCCCCCCTCTCAAAAAATAAAAAATCAAGATAATCTGGGTTTATCCATTGCAACCAGAGATATAATTTAACATTTCTAACTTTACAGACCTTGTATCCCAGGCTCAATACTCCCCAACTTCTGCTTCCATATCATCCAGATACTCCCAGCAACGCTTTTTAAAGACTAATCTCAAAGGCAGTAAAATAACAAGATGGATTCCAAGGCCACAGACTGTAAGTAATGATAAGATTGATTACATGCATTAAACAATAAAGCTTTACAATTTGATTTTTTGGTTTTTGGGTCACTTCAGACTTACATTAGAAAAATGATATATCAGGAGCTTATGTAGGTGCCTTTAATCTGGATAAGAAAATTCTGATGTTGAAATAATCCTATAATAGTACCTTCTAAATTACAAGTCAATAAATGGGTGTGGAATCAGTACCAACACCTTGCTGTGTTCCATCTCTGAATTTCTTTTTTCCCCCAATCATCTTCAACAATTAACTAGCAGCATCAGACTCCTTATCTGAGTTCCCCAACAGAGCAGAAATAGTTTTGGAAGTCATTTTAAAACACGTGAGAAATCTACCCTCCAAGAAAACTGTTGGGATGCAGATTAGCACGTATTTGAAGAACTCGTAAGTTTCAGTTTTTAGTTTATGTAAAACAACATAGACTTCCTCTTCCACTGTCTCCTCTCTACTGCTTTAGTAAGTATTTTGCTCTTTGCTCCATTTTCTTTCAGAATCCCTTCTAGAGATTCACATATCTAATCAACACATTTAAGAATTCCTGGCTGGGCATGGTGGCTCACGCCTGTAATCCCAGCACTTTGGGAGGCTGAGGCAGGCAGATCACCTGAGGTCAGGAGTTTGAGACCAGCCTGGCCAACATGGTGAAACCCTGTCTCTATGAAAAATACAGAAATTAGCCAGGTGTGGTGGCGGTCGCCTGTAATCCCAGCTACTTGGGAGGCTGAGGCAGGAGAATCACTTGAGCCTGGGAGGCAGAGGTTGCGGTGAGCTGAGATCACGCCATTGCAATTGCACTCCAGCCTGGGCAACAAGAGTGAGACTTTGCTCAAAAAAAAAAAAAAAAAAAAAAATTCTTCCCCATTACCTGAAGAAAAATTAAGAGGAAAAGATTTAATCATTCCTTCAGAGAAAAGTATGCCATTCCAAGTCATTTGATGGTGTAATTCTGCAGCTGATGGTCTAGTTATAAGGACCAAAAGTTTCAAGATTTCTAAATGTGCAGTTAAGAAGGGGGAAAGACAGGTTGGGAAGATACCCAAACACCATCTTGACCAAATCAGGGCCACATTATTAATGTCCACCATTCGCTTGACTCACCAATCTCTGTGCAGTCATCTTTCTTGAAAATGTGAAATTTTATTATATGTCTATGTTTCCGCAAAAGCCTTTTGCAAAAAGAAGCAAAGTTCACTTTGTATGTGTGGGATCACAAGGACTTTCAAGAATCACTTCATCTCCATTTCACCCTGAAAGGTGCAAGTACCATGGGGGTGTTGGTGGTCACGACTTGTTGAAAAGGCTGCTAAGCAGCTAAGTGCATTAGTGAAGATTTACTATATTTGAGAGATTCAGAAGGGTGATGGTCTAAGGCTAATTGATGAACATTGCCCTACCAAATAAATAAACCCTATAGTGAAGCGTCCTGTGGGCCCATTGGCCCAGTGGCTATGTACAATATGGGAAGCTCAAGCAAAAAACCTCAAGGCCAGGGAAGGTACACAGTTAGCTAGAACTTCTTCAGATCTCAGGTCTGACTTCTTAAGGCCTATGAGACAAGTCAGATAAATACTGATTGAAGAGGAATTTATACATGGCTGAAATGTAAGAGTACAGTTAATTTTCTAAAAATTAGCCCTGCACTAACACAAATGATAAAAAATTAAGGAATTTTAGATTACTCGAAATATGAACTGTGTTATCCTCCTTAACTGGAAATGGCTTTCCATTGATGAATTCATTCTTCACCAATTCCCTTCATGACAAGTGGCAAAATACAGACAAGAAGGCATACTAACTATATGGTCTGGCCTAACCCAGACCAAATCAATGATCTTGGTCTCATTAATAACAGTGACTTTTTATGATGCTATAACAAGAATTATTCACTGTGTTGTTAACAAACACCAATATCTACTTATATTACAGGTACCTATCAAACACAAAAAAAGGATTGATGATGTTTTCCTACCCAATATGGCAGAAAATGTTCAACTGACAGCTTTTCAGGTTCAAATAGCTCCATCCAGATTCCCATTTAGAGCTGACTGGTGATCGTATCTTCTTTTTCCAACCTTTATTTCTACGAGTATTTGAATGAATAAAAATGACTCCAAATGCCACTAAACCTCTTATTTAATTTTATGTATGAAATTTTCTTATCTGTACTTGGAAGATAGGGTTTGAAGGAATGAGATGATTACATCTTGAACCAACCCCAGGTGAAGTAGGTGTTGGTCCTAGACTTTAAAACCTAAGCATTGATTTGCATTCCTGCAAGTCAGCCTTTGCCTCTGGTCAACCAGCAGCCTCTCAATATGAATTCTAGAGTTAGTAGGTAGGAAGGACAGCTAAGATAGAGGCTCTCACTTCTAAGCAGTGTTTACTAACAAGTGAAAAACCAAAGTATGTTAATAGAGATTAACACAAATGAACATCAAAGCATTTGTTTCACTTAGAAAACAAATTTGCCGTCCTCTATTAACAATCTTTTCATTCTTCCTACAAATGCCAAAGACTTCCTCAGACTTTAGTCAAGTCCTAATCCAAGTCCTTTTTGTTCAGACAAGAAAATCTGTCTTGTGTAAAGCAATTAATAGATGAACAGAGCAGAGAAACATTTACATGCATAAATTTATATATGATACATGTGGCTTTTCAAATTAAAGAGAACATGGAGGCTATCTGGAATAAAATCATCACCTTACCCCATACATTATAAATTCCAAATGGATTAAAGATCTAAATGCACGTACGTACACATGCACACATACACAGACACACACGACACATGCACAAACTGATTTTTTAAACAATATTAAAGCCAAGAGGAAAATTGATAACTTTGATATCAGAACTAAAACTTCAGTATGATAAAATACTGTGTCAGTTATCAACTGATATCTCAGCTCCAAATTCATTCTTTATTGTCTGTTCTGCAATAACAAATATGGACCCTATAAACATTTCCTCTTTGCCAACTGGCAAGATGTTAAGCTTTGTCAGTAGGGGGTGCTGGAGGGACCCTGGAGGAGGTGGCAGGGTTTTTTCCCAGGTTACCGTGTGCTCCTCTAGGCAGGCTCTTGCAGTGTGCATGGCTTCTGCAGCACCAGCTTCTTGTAGCATATACAGCTTCTGTGGTGCCTGGTTCCAGTGATGCATGTAGCTCCATGGTAGAGTGCCACTTGCATGGCACCTCCTGTGATGGGTGCCCCCCAGCATCCCTCTGAATAGCTTTGTAGTCTCAGTGACTTTCTCAGCCATCCAATAAGCTTTGGCCAGATCCCCTCCAATGAGGTCTAGATCTCAGCCCTGAAGGGTAGTGGCTGGTCCCTACATCTGCTATCCTTGTATTCTTTCGAGTTCTCTTTATTGCTTACAAGCAGTATGCCAATCCTTTGATATAGTTAATAATTCTTCATATCAGACTTTCCCTGTTTGAATTACTGTGTGCTGTCTGTCTCCTGATTGGCCCATCACTGATACAGAACTGGTACCAGAAGCAGGTGTTCCCAGAGGATAGACCTGCTATGGTTTGAATGTTTGTCCTCTCCAAAACTCATGTTAAAATTTAATCCCCAATGTGGCAGTACTGAAAGGTGAGACCTTTAAGAGGTGATTGGGTTATGAGGACTCTGCCCTTATGAGTGGATGAATCCATTCAATCCACAAATCAATGGATTTGTGGGTTGTTAAATTAATGGACTATCATGGGAGTGGGACTGGTGGCTTTATAAGAAAGGAAAACTTGGGTTAGCATGCTCAGCTCCTTCACCATGTGATGCCCTGTGCTGCCTCAGGTCTCTGTGGAGGGTCCCCACCAGCATGAAGGCTCTTACCAAATGTGCCTCCTCAACCTTGGACTTCCCAGCCTCCATAACTTTAAGAAATAAATTCCTTTTGTTTACGAATTTCCCAGTTTCAGGTAGTGTTATAAACAATAGAAAATGTATTGAAACAGAACACAGATGGAACTTGGGATTTGTTCAGTGCTGAGCCAATAGGAAATTGGAATGTTAGTATTATTTGCATGCAGTGGCTTCACAATCATGTTGTTACCGGTAGTAGATTGTGCTAAAGTACCTACTGAAGTATGTGCCTTTAGGAGCCTCAATTGCTACTACACTAACTATCATGGTAGTCATGTTGACTGTAGAGACTGTGGTGTGAGGTGGATTTTTTTGAATGCACTTCAGCACTTCTGGAAGAAAATGACAAGCTCATGACCTTTAATTCTAGGCTTAATTCATGGTCTGAGACCAGAAAGCTTCCATGATACACCTAAAAGTATCTCTTATTTCTTATAGTCACAGGGATGATATTGCTAAAAATCAAGCACAAATTTTTATTATTGGCATGCTAAATTACAATGACAGTTGTATTTATAAGCTCATCAAGTTTCTCACTGCCACTGAGATAGGCCCCGTGATTTCAATGAAGAAAATGCAATTCCAAAGTGGAAGCACCAAGTGGCAGGCTTTAACTGGCAAAAGACAAGGTAGGCACATCCATTATAAAGGGCAACAGGGATGTATCAGTAGTCAGAATCCCTTGGCCTGCAGAGTTCTTTGGTAGTTAATGTGTCCCCAAGTATGAAATCATAGATTGCTTAATGTATATAACAGAAATTGCTTAATGTATATAACAGAATTGCTGTTATATTGCTTAATGTAACAGAATTGCTTAATGTATATAACAGAAAAATCTACAGGTCTAGTAGCCAAAACTTGAGTCACCACAGTGAGGAGTCACAGCCTTTGACCCAGGTTCCAGATTTGAGTCAATTCACAGACCAGAGGCCCTTGACCAAAGGGGAGGCTGGATCTCTTTGAGGAAGGACCCTTCACTGTGCAGGTTCATGTTATAAATCTTCCTCCAAACCGTTCCCCAAGGGACCTGCAATCGTTTTCTTAAATTACTGTTCTTCAGAGAAAAGAAAATACCCAGACATTTTGGTGGTTACTAGACCCAGGGCCTAAATTAATGCTAATTCTTGGGTACCCAAAACACCACTGTGGCTTACCGTCAAAATGAAGGCTTACAGTAAGATGATATAGAAAGAGTCATAGCTCAGGTCTGAATTACAATGGACCAAATAGGTACATGGACCCACCCTGTGACTACTTCCCCAGTTCCTGAGTGAATAATTAGAATAAATACAATTAACAATATAAAGAATTTCCGTATTGGTTTTTTGACATATGAGCTAAGAATCAATTATGGTAGGATCACTGGAAGTCTCTGGAACTTTCCCTATCAAAAAAGCAAACCAGAAGCAATACTATAACCCTGGGGAAATGGCCCTGGGCATTAATGCCACCATCAAAGATTCGAAAGAAACAAGGGTGATGATACCCATCCCTTCATCATTTAACTCACCACTCTGGCCTGTGCAGAAGACAGATCTTAGAAATAACTAGGGAGTATCAGTTCCACATCTTAATGAGGTGGTGATTTCAATTGCAGTTGCTCTCACAGACTTAGCATCTTTACTGAAACAAATTAGTATGCTCCTGGGACTTGACATGCAGTTATTTCCTTAAAGCCTTTTGCACCGTGAGAGGCAGTTTGCTTTTACTTGGCAAAAATCTATTAAAAAATCTATTCACCATGGATTAGCAACCAGCGTATTTTCAGATTAAAACAAAAACCCCTACAAATTGGTAAGAAAAAAAGAAAAATTGACGATTCACCAAGGAAATCATTCCACTCACCAGAATATTAAAATTTAAAAACTGTTTGGTTATCAAGTGATCTGCTGCCAGTGATAAGTGGGAAGCAATCTCTGTGAAAGTCCTCAGTGTGGAAACCCTCTGAAGCAGATTTCCACGCCTCCATTTCTACTCCAGAGAAAGTCACACATAAACAAAGTGGCAGATACAAACATGCTCTGTAAAATTGTTGCTATGAACTAAAAACTGCAAAAAGCTTGTCTTTCAATAGGTAAATACCTGTGTCAATTATGGTATCCATACTACATATACCAACACAGAAATTAAGAATTTGGTTTAGCCCATTCAGGACATAGGCATGGGCAAAGACTTCATGTCTAAAACACCAAAAGCAATGGTAACAAAGCCAAACAGACAAATGAGATCTAATTGAAGAGTTTCTGCACAGCAAAAGAAACTATCATCAGAGTGAACAGGCAATCTACAGAATGGAAGAAAATTTTTGCAATCTGTCCATCTGACAAAGGGCTAATATCCAGAATCTACAAAGAACTTAAATTTACAACAACAACAACAAAAAAAAACCATCAAAAAGTGGGCAGAGGATATCAACAGACACTTCTCAAAATAAGACATTTCTGCAGCCAACAGACATATGAAAAAATGCTCATCACTGGTCATCAGAGAAATGCAAATCAAAATCACAATGACATACCATCTCATGCCAGTTAGAATGACAATCACTAAAAAGTCAGGAAACATGCTGGAGAGGATGTGGAGAAATATGAACGCTTTCACACTGTTGGTGGGAGTGTAAATTAGTTCAACCATTGTGGAAGACAGTGTGGCAATTCCTCAAGGATCTAGAACTAGAAATACCATTTGACCTAGCCACCCCATTACTGGGTATATACTCAAAGGATTATAAATTATGCTACTATAAAGACACATGCACACGTATGTTTATTGTGACACTATTCACAATAGCAAAGACTTGGAACCAACCCAAATGTCCATCAATAATAGACTGGATAAAGAAAATGTAGCACATATATACCATGGAATACTATGCAGCCATTAAAAAAGGATGAGTTCATGTCCTTTGCAGGGACATGGATGAAGCTGGAAACCATCATTCTCAGCAAAACAGAAAACAAGAAAAGAAAACCAACCACCACATGTTCTCATAAGCTGGAGTTGAACAATGAGAACACATGGACACAGGGAGGGGAACATCACACACTGGGGCCTGTTGAGGGGTGGCGAGCTGGGGAAGGGATAGCGTTAGGAGAAACACCTAATATAAATGACAAGTTGATGGGTGCACCAAACCAACATAGCACATGTATACCTATGTAACAAACCTGCACGTTGTGCACATGTACCCTAGGGGAAAAAAAAATTTTGGTATAGTCACATAACACTACATTTGAAAGATCTCCAAAAAGTGA